TCTCCCCCCCCCCCCCAAAAAACACCATTCACTTAGAGAAAGCATGGAACTGTATTGGACAACAGGCCTTTGTCATGATCAATATCCATTTCCTGCAGCATCCGATTACAGAGCAGTGCACATACTAAACCAATGCTTCAGCAATCTTTAACCGACACTTTCAACTACACCTTCCACTGATTCTGTGGCACAAGAGTGACAGACTCAACAAATTGTATTAAACAAATGCCTTACCATCATCAATCAATGGCTGTATTGCTAGATAATAGAATCTGCATTTTCTACTGCCTTCAAGAACAGACACACACATTAAATGGTTAATAACAAGATGTTATGCTATAACGTTAATGAAATAAAAGTTTGACTTGGTCTGCAAAGCCAAATCAAATACCAAATGGTGACCAAAAAAAAACAACAACAGGGTTTGACTAAAAATAATGACAATGAGACAAAACTTACCCAAAGCTGAGGGAGCGACGTGCACCTGGAGAAGGAGCCATTCTGTCGGTTGAGGGGCTTGGCATCACATGACGTCCCGGAGACATCTTACGCACCTCCCAGGCTAAAGAGGTGGGCCTGAACAAAGTGAAAGTAGAAAACACTAATTACAATCTCCAGTTGCCAAACACACACAAGCCTGGCTCATGGCATACTTCAAATCAGTTAAACAGCTGATTCACTTGCATTATTTCATACAATAGTTTCAGGTTGTCTTATTGATCAACAGCTTTAAATAAACAAACTAAACAAATTGGCAGCACTGGGTATTTCATTTCTTAGTCAATTTACAGTTGCAGTGGTCACTGTGATAAAGAAAAGCCAATAAACTCATGGTTCTCTTTGAATTAAAGCCAAGACTATTGATCCGTTCTGTCTGTGACTCAAAGCCTGGGACCAGACACCGGCACTTCACATTTCACCTCAGGGAGCATTTCAAAATGGGGAGGAAAGGAAAGCAAGAAACAAAGACAGGTGGTGAGGAAGAAAAACTAGAGCTCACCTGTTCTGGGCATCTGTTTTCTCCAACTTCTCCTGAAGCTGGATCCAGTCTATGAGAGCTTTGAAATCCCGTACATAGTTGTCCAACATCATCAACACCTCCTACAGACAGCAGTTACGATAAAATGGAGACTGACTACGCAGCAGATTATACACCAAATAAGAAGAATGAAACAATGAACAGGAGGGTTTGCAAAAATAACAGGTAAAAATTTGGAAAATCGGTGGCATAAACCTGAACAATAACAAGACCATTTCTATTCCAGAAACAAAACAACTCAAACCATATAATCATGTTTTTATAGTCACTGCATAATATACACATTAGCTACTGTATTATATCTATTGAGGGTCTGTCTGTGTTAAATAGTTCTGGGATGAAAACAGACTAAACAAAAACCTAAAAGGTAAAACATACTGGAAAGAAATCTCCAACTACAGACTAATAACTGGCATTTCAAACGCCTGTTAATAGCCAAAATCTGCCATTGAAGTCAGTGACTGACAGGGGGTCTTTGGAAGATCAGGAGTGCTGCTGGAAAGCAGGAGCTGGTCTACAAATGTTCATGTCCAAACACAAATGTTGATTAAAATGTTTGAAGAAGACCAGAATTCCCAATAGCAAATGCCTATTATCTGCTCTTGGACTGATTGACAGCGCTGGTTGTCCGGAGGTGGCGAGCTGTGTAGAGCTTTTTGCCCCAGAGCTATAATGAAACAGACACAAATGATTGATTGTGCACGTGAAGGGAGTGGTAATTGAGAGTAAAGCCTCACAGCGCTTTTAGTTAATAGACAAGACAGGCCAATGAAAGATGTGTCCAAAAGCAGGTCTGCTGATTAGAGCTGGTTAACAGGCAAAGACCACCGCTATGGCCCTGTGTTCATTTGGTCATGAATGCCAAACGTTCCTCTGACACATAATGCCACAGTGAGTGAAGGCGCCATAAAGTGACACACTCACCGACTGTAAATACAGCCCTCACGTGACATTTCATGTGAAATGACAAAATGTTTAACCTCCCAGAAGCAGTGCCATAAAGTAGGATGAGCAGTAAAAGCCATTTCATTCATACAATGAAGCAGTATGTCAAAGATACTGGCTACAAGTAAACAATTATTTTTGTGTATTTAAAACAATTTAAGACCAGAACAGCCTGTATCAGTTCACCTACAAAAACCTGTATAAATTAAGAAAAAAATCCAGAATTTCAACTGCCTCTAAGGAAAACAGGAACAACAAGTAGCTTTTCTTGCCTGATTTAAGTGATATGCCTAATAAATCAAGAGGCAGGATAAAGGAGAAGTTGACAGGAACCAGCTGGACCTTAGGACTGTGAGTTACAAAGATGTGGACATCATTAATAAGCATATATGAACCACTGCGTGGAAAAACATTATATTAGGTTGGCACCAAGGTTCTCATGCAAAACACCATAAAGCATTATGGTAACACAGCCTCAGCATCAAATTAGACATCACTTCCTGATGATGGTTTTGTTTATGTCCATAACTTTTTAGGTGAAAAATTATTACTTGTATAGTGATTTGTGTGAGAGCACACAAACCAGCTTATCCACAGCTACACTGGGGGATTGTGGCTGGGGGCTATCAGAGCACTCTACTTCCCCTCTAGATGACTCCATCATCTATCAATGTCCATTAAGCCCAGGATGGGTGGGTTGGGGGAATAATGAACAGCATCCAGCTCCATGGCCATTAGACAGCATTAGTGTGTAGACAGATACCCTGCTATGAGGAGGGGAAAAAAGACAGCTACTAGTCAGATGTCTGACAACATGTTGATCACACTACAGGGAGCTGCACTGTCGCACTGACACCGAGCCGACCACACCGCAGGGAACTGGGCTACGGTACTGACCGCAGGCCGTCACCAGAACCATGTTCAACATAATGCGACGTGGCAGAAGAATCAATAAAACACAGGACCAGCAGTATCATGCCAGCAATGCCCTGAAGCAACATCACAGTGCTGCTCCATGGCTGCACCACGACTCCACTAAGGAGAGAATCATACTGAAATGCAATGTTTATTTTATGTATAAGCTGTAGAACAAGAAGGTATGGTGCCAAGTACCATTCCAACAAACACCTGACAACAGAATGTTTATTAGGGTTCAATATTAACCATGGCCTGATGGTCTGTGGCCACAAAAAGTTGCTGTGTGGCCACCATATCGTCCCAGCAGGTGGCTCGCTGTGGCCTCCAAGCTTTACATCTCTACTAAGAATGGGCATAGGCATGGGGGGTGCAAAAAAAAAAGAAAAGAGTGAACTAAGAAAAAGAATATATGTATGTTTAGACATGACCTTGAGTTTTCAGTTTAAATAAGCAGTCATATATTTTGATTTTGTTAATGTCCTTTGTTTTTGAAGCGTCACAGTTAAGGAAGGTCATGCTAAGTTGCATTAAACTGCTTTTTCTGCATTGTTGTTGCATACGTTTATATTTGCACACCAAAAACGTACACTGTCCACCAAATTTAGGAGCCTGGTTGCCCATAGGGCCAGTGATTAATAGCGTCTATCCCTGTATACAGTCCGTCATCGATATCCAGTCCAGTCGCCAGACCCAACAGAGAGTACTGTGATAGTTCTGTCATCAGCGAGCCTTCAGAGAAACCCTCTGACATAAAGCAGAAAGCAAGAGGAATGTGAGTTGTGAGGGAGAATTTCTGTTCTGATCTCAGTGCCCCCTCTAGCGTTCATAGACTATACCATCATTCTTGAAACCAGAATCTGTATTTCTACTTAGGTAATTTGTTCACTTGCAGACTAACCTTGCATTCTACAACGCTCTGATCAGATTCACAGGTGACGTAAATCTCATCCACAGCTCTACGCAAGTTGTCGAAGAGGAACGCCCAGTAGCGTGCTCGCAGGTCCACCTTGCGGGGCTGTCTGGCTTTGGTGGGGCTCTTCTCTGTCCCCTTGTCCAACAAGGTGCCAGCTGTGCCTTTACTTTCCACTCCAACATTCTGTGGAGACAGAGCATGGACCAAACACAGCAGGAAGCATGACGAAGTTATTACAGTGTCATGTTAAGTCTCTCGGTGTTTATATATAGCAGCTGCAGCATTTGGCTGGAACAGGAGGTACGGCTGTTATATGCTTTACACTACCAGCCATGCATATAGGGAGATTTCAGCTCCTTGTTCCGGTGCTAATGCTACACATTACTCTAGTGGTTTCAACAGGAATGCATCAGGAAGTATTAGGTATTAAAATAAAAAAAATTGATTAGCTTAAAGAGCACAGTCAGCAATAAACGGTTGTTGCCAAAAAACATCTTTACACAGTAGAATATCCCACCACATCACATTCTTCTTGTAGCTTGTTGCAGTGCAACAGAACTTTTTTGCAATGTTATGCAAGACTAATGGAGACAAGGCAATGGGCTGAAAATGATCAAACATCTGACTCCAGGTGATTATTAGACAGCCAAACATTCAGAGATGTCACACAACTGCAGACTAGTTGCTCCCCTTTTCTAGGTGAAATTAGCTTTTCCAGGACTGACTAACACAATGTGAAAACAGCAAGTGGAATGACGATCGCAAAACTGCCACAGTGACTTTGTTTTTGAGTGTTTAAATCACCAGGTGTGAGCCAGCTTGGTGAATGGTGCCCTCTAGTGGAAACAGATGATGCACCAACCTGTTTCTTATTCCTTTGTTGCCCAGAATTGATCCTCTGAGCTCTGGAAGTGCCACTGGAGTTGCTTTTGGACTTTACTATGTGGAGAAGAAAAGCAAGGCTTAGAAACAGTCACTGGGGAAATAAACAATTTAAGCTTCAAGTTCATAATCAACATGAGGACCTTGGATAATTATTAAACCACTCACAGTAGTGTGGTTTTGACTAATAGTTGATGGATTCAACTGTCACAAATATACAATAACAGAGAGCTGGACAAGACAATAACCTTAACTGCAGTGTTGAAGATTCAAGATACAGAAGTCACATGGAAACTGAATAACCCATATCAGAACTAAAACCAGAACACACATTTAGAAGATTTCTAGTATTCATGGCACCAAGTCAAGAGCAGAAAAACAGCCTAAAAGAAATCACTGAAGTTAAATACAAAGAAGAGGGAGAGCCAGAGCAAAAAGTGAGAAAGTATAGGAGGCTAAATGTGGGTGTTTCAGAGTAGGCTGACCTAAGAGCAGCTTTCTGTAATATAGAAACTACTGTGAAGGAAAATGGGACACTGCACAGTCAAACTGACCAAACTGAAAGCTACCGTCTTAGACAGAGCACTGCATAACAGCCAATTCAACAAAACACTGTGGAAAAACATAGCACAATACAGCTCAGTAACCTATCCCTTAAACCTGCTTATTCTAGGTACAGTAGCAGAAGATGATGCATTGGGTGCAAGCTTTAGCCTGCCTAAGAGTATGGTCACTGTAATTCTCCAAATAAATCACTGAACACCTTCTGCTGGTCCAAAGATATGTAAAACACAGTAAAGTAAAACACTAGCAGTAACTGGACAATGAAGCCCTAAATCATAACAAAGTCATATTCCATTTACTCTAGTGGAGTTAACATGAATTGTTAACACTTGGTAATAACCATCGGATAACAGTGCATGAGCATACACAGCAAGTTTGTTGTACATGCAGCTACCAACCTTCCTCTTCTTTGTTCTCTAGAGGAACACTCCAAGCTATGAGGTTTCGAGCAGCACGACCCTCTTCAGCAACTATCCTCCGCACTTTGTCATGGCTGTTGGAGCGCTGAAAAGATGCCTGGAGGAGAAACAGGTTAAACACATCAATTCTACATTTCATCCAAGAGCCAAGGGAAGACAGTATAGAGCTTTTTTTTTTTAGCTGTGGCAGTTTACCTCCATTTTAATACACCTTTCAGGCAAATTTTATACAATGGTTATGGGTACGGAAAGTATTCATCAGTCCCCCTTAAATTTTTCACTCTTTGTTATATTGCAGCCATATGCTAAAATCATTTAAGTTCATTGTTTTCCTCATTAATGTACACACAGCACCCCATATTGACAGAAAAACACAGAATTTTTGACATTTTTGCAGATTTATTAAAAAAGAAAAACTGAAATATCACATGGTCATAAGTATTCAGACCCTTTGCTGTGACACTCATATATTTAACTTAGGTACTGTCCATTTCTTCTGATCATCCCTGAGATGGTTCTACACCTTCATTTGAGTCCAACTGTGTTTGATTATACTGATTGGATGTGATTAGGAAAGCCACACACCTGCCCATATAAGACCCTACAGCTCACAGTGCATGTCAGAGCAAATGAGAATCATGAGGTCAAAGGAACTGCCTGAAGAGCTCAGAGACAGAATTGTGGCAAGGCACAGATCTGGCCAAGGTTACAAAAAAAAATTTCTGGCTGCACTCAAGGTTCCTAAGAGCACAGTGGCCTCCATAATCCTTAAATGGAAGACGTTTGGGACGACCAGAACCCTTCCTAGAGCTGACCGTC